GGGATGTAAACAGACATTTGTTCTGAGGGATTTTAAAGTTACTATTAAAAATCCTGATTTTTGACTTTTTTTGTAATTTGCTTTTTCCTCTTAAAAACAAAGTCAACAATTGAGTTTTAAAGGCTAAAATCTGATATAAATTTGAAACATCTTTTGCTTGAAGAATGTCCTTGTGGCATTCTGATACTAACTTTAGGTTATATTTAAACAGTAAGATGAAGTGTTTAAGTACAGAAACCTTCCGTGAAAATTTACAAGCTTAATGTAAGATTTCATATACCTGATTACTTCACCTCACAAATAAGAAATTAACATTAGCAGTAACATAATGCAGTTAAGAGCTTCCTGGACAAGGAGGAAAAAGACTTTAATTTTCACTCACTGTAGAGCATTAAGAGAGATTTAGTCTCTGTAAAAATGGTATGGTGGCCGTGTCTGACCTCTAACTTCACGAGAGGGAAGGAGAATCAAGATCAACGGCCCAAGGCTGATTCCTATGAGACATGTCTCCTCTCCACCAGCTTCACCAATTCCCACACCAACCATCTCTCCCACAGCACTCTCTACTTCTCTGCCGAGTTCGATAATTCATTGCAATGGCCACACAGAACTCACAAACAATACTCACAATTATGGGGTTCTAGGGAAGTAAAAGGTTACAATTTAGGTTCAGGAACACTCAGGATACCATTGTTCCATCAGGACAGCCTCTTCTCAGCTGTGCCCACAGGCAGGCCTTTCTCTGGCCCCTGGGTCTCTGCCCTGCTCCAGGTGAGTGTTACAAAGCTCTTTTGTCTCTGCTGATAAGTGCCCTGAGGCACCTCACTCTGCCAGTAAGCCTTGGCCTGAAGGTGCTCTGCTCTAGCTCTGTGAGTTGGCTAATCTAGTTTCACCAAGTGCCTGGAGGCATCCTACTCCCACCAGTATGCCTCCGGCCCAAAGATACTCAGCTTTCTCGCTCCGTGGGCTGGGCCTCTTCCTGCTGTTCTCTTGCTGCTGCTTTTTTGCCATCTTTGGTGTTACAGCTCTCTCTGTCTCCTGGTTCCAGGAGCTTTTCAGCAAGGGGATCCTGGGTCCAAAAGACGTGCTCCACTCCTGGCTCTTCTTGCTTGGTGGTGGTGAGATCCTCTCCTCCCACCTCTGGGATGGCTCATCTTAAACCTACTGGGATGGCAAAACTGACCAATCCCTTTGCTAGGGTTCCACATACTTTACCAGAATGGTCTCACCCAATCATTTGGTGGGAGTTACAAAGACTATGACTAGAAGGGCCATATTAAGTAACTCATTGCCCACAGTCTCCTTATCTGAAAAAATGCGGAAGTTGAATTGGATCCTCTCTGAAATCCCTTTTAACCAGTAGGCACTGAGTCATTTCTGACTCATGGTGACCCCATGTGTGCCAGAGTAGGACTGTGCTCCATAGAGTTTTCAATGGCTGATTTTTCAGAAGATCACCAGGTCTTTCTTCTGAGGCACCTCTGGGTAGACTAGAACCTCCAACTTTTTGGTTAGCAGCTTAGCATGTTAATTGTTTGTATCACCCAGGGACTCCCTAATGTCCCTTAAAGGTCTTAAAATAGTTTCTAGATCCTTGAAAACATAAATTTCTCAGGATATACAGTGGCCAAAAAAGAAACCCACTGTCAAGTTATTTCCGACTCATAGTGACCCCATGGGGTTTCCAAGGCTGTAAATCTTTACAGAAGCAGACTGCCACATCTTTCTCCCACGGAGCAGCTGGTTGTTTTGAACCACAGACCTTTCGGTTAGCAGTCAATCGCTGTGGAATAAAATTAACCAGTCTCTCCACTCTAAACATTCTTCTAGTCCCTCCGTGGCCTGGCTTGTTATTTTCCAAGGCTGGATCCTGTTTTTCTATTTATGTTTCCTACCTCACTGTCTATCCTTTCATTCTAACTCTTGCTCATCTTGTTGGTCTCTGCTTCTGACCCCGGTCATAAAAGTAGAGGTCCTTAATAATCTAGTCATTTAGAAAAGCAGGCACTAGATATTTTAAGTTCTGGTTCTCTGACCGAGATAAACCTACAATATGAGAAATTAACTCAAAAAAGGAAAGCTTTGGGATATATCTTACCTGATACAAACTATACATCAAGTTCAGGATCTCAAGTCAGCCATTATACAACCTTGGACAAATTGCTTAAAAGTGTCAGTTTTCTTACAATTTAATCTGATAAAATACAATCCAGAGCACACAACGGTTAGATGGGTATACATGTGTTAGATGGGTATGGAAGTGACACAATATCATTCCCAGAATACTTAAACAAAGAGATAATGGATAATTTTTCATTCAACAAATTTGCGCCATTCAACATCAACACCGCATTTAGGCTGAGGATGCAGAGAATAAGATCTGAATGCTCCTACACTTAGTATAGTTTCACGGCTTAAAAAAATAAGAAAACTTCTGCATTAAAACATTATTATAGAAAATAAGAGATGATCTTTTACTATTTCCACTGAAATATGGGGGAAATGTCTTTAAAAACATGAAGCTGAATTACCTTACAGAATTAATTCAACGTCACAATGAGTTCCTGAGGAACTTGGTATTTTCTTTCTCAAAAGTCTTTTAAAATAGCACCTGACAGTTTTCAAGCAGTTGCCCAGTCAATTCTGACTCATGGCAAACTCATGTGTGTCAGAATAGAACTGTGCTCTGTAGGGTTGTCAATGGCTGGTTGTTCAGAAGTAGACTGCCAGGCCATTCTTCCAATGTACCTCTGGGTGAATGTGATCTGTCAGTCTTTTGGTTGCCTAAAATTGAAGGATGGATCAAATAGCCTTTCTAATGGGGGGCAAAAAACCACAGTGAAAAATCCTCCAGATTGCTGGTAGCAGGATGAAGAAACTGGAGCTTACCTGTCATTTATCTGATTGGCTGAGCAGTCCTTGTTTTTAGACATACATTCACCTCCTACACAGACCTGCTGTTTTGCCTCTTATATTACTGTAATTTAATTTACATCAGAAATCATATTTCTTAAAGATAGTTATTTTAAAGCAGGTAAGTAGCACATAAAAATTTTCCTCATCAATTTTTATGGGGCATATTTGAAGTGTTTGTTTCAAACTGAGAGGCAGAGGGAGAAAAAATAATGGGAAATTATCAAAGGAAGAGAAATGCTGTAATAGGCAATTCTAAGTACATCCTCCAGAAACACATGTTTTCAAATGGGGCCAGGAAGCTAACAAATTAATCTACAAATGAGAAACTCAGAGCAGTCATTATTCTCTGCTATTATTAGGGTTTTGTTTTGTTTTTTAGTGTAATTTTGAATGAATAGGTCCAGTTGGTTTACTCCCCAGGGCCTATAATCTCAACCTATTTGGTACTTTATCAATGTATTTTCAATCAATTGTATTTCTATACACTTGCAATGAACAATTAGAAAAAGAAATTTAAAAAAAATCCCATTTATAATAGCATCAAAAGTAATGGAATACTTAAGAATAAATTTAACAAAGTAAGTGTAACACTTATATACAGAAATATATAGAGCATCATTGAAAGAACTTAAAGCCTAAATAAAAGACACTTGTGTTCATGGATCAGGAGACTTAACACTGGATAGCAATAATCCCCAAATTGCTCTATAGATTCCATGTAATCCCTATCAAAATCTCAGCTGCAGCCTTTTTTGCAGAAATGGAAATGCTGATCTTAAAATTCATATGGAATTGCAGAGGATCCCAAATAGCCAAAACAATCTTGAAATAGAAGAACAAAGTAGGAGGACTCACATTTCCTGATTTCAAAACTTACTACAAAGCCACAGTAATCAAGACAGTGTTGTACTAACATAAGGACAGACATATAAATCAATGGAATAGAACTGAAAGTCCAGAAATAAATCCTTAGATTTATGGTCAGTTGATTTTTGGCAAGGGTGTCAAGGGTGCCACGACAGTTCAATGGGGAAATAATTGTCTTTTCAACAAATAATGCTTGGACACATGGATATTCACATGTAAAAAAAAATGAGGTTGGCTTCCTACCTTGCACCATATAAAAAAATGAACTCAAATGTATCACAGACCTAACTGTAAGAACTAAAACTATAAAACTTTTAGAAGAAAACTTAGGCATAAATCTTTGTTGACCTTAGATTAGGCTATGGTTTCTTAAGTATGACAGTAAAAGCATAAGAAATAAAAGAAAAAAATAGATAAATTGGACTTCATCAAAATTAAAAATTTAATCATTAGGGAAATGCAAGTCAAAACCAAAAAGAGGTACACCTTCACACCTACTAGGATTGCTACAATAAAAAAGACTTGTTTATTAATCATTGTTTAATAATGGGAGTTTGTGAGGATGTAGAGAAACTGGAACCTTGATAAATGATGATGGGAACGTAAAATGGTGCAGCTGCTTGGAGAACAATCTGGCAGTTCCTCAAAAAGTTAAGCAGAGAGTTACTATATGACCCAACAATTCAACTCCTAGGTATATACCCAAGAGAACTGAAGATACATGTTTATACACAGTCTCATACACAAATGTTCATAGCAGCATTATTCAAAATAACCAAGAAGTAGAAACAAACCAAATGTCCATCAACTGATGAACTGATAAACAAAATGTGGCTTAGTCATACAATGGAATATTATTCAGCCATAAAAGAAGTGAAGTACTGATACATGCTACAATGTGGATGAATCTTGAAAACATTATGCTAAGTGAAATAAGCCAGACACAAAGGCCACATAGTGTATAATACCATTTACATGGTTAGAACAGGCGAATCGATAGAGACAGATGTAGATGAGTAGATGCCAGGGACTAGCTAATGGGTGCAGGGTTTCTTTTTGAGGTGATAAAAATGTTCTGCAATTAGATAATGGTGATGGTTACACAATGTTGTGAATATCCTAAAAATCACTGAACGTACTATAAAGAGTGAATTTTATGATAGAAATTATATCTCAATAAAAAAAAGTATACAATAATACAAAGGACAGACTGTCAGTTTATAATCTAATGTCAAGTTTTATTCACCTTTTCTCTTATAATATACTGTCATTCAAAATATACCTCATAAATAATTCATGCATACAGTAGGCACTCTATAAATATTTTGATTCAATATTTAGGTATTTTTTAGAATGACTAAAAATCCTGATGTAAAATCCCATTTGGGAAGTGCATAATCCCATCGTAGACAAAATATATAACTTTACAATAAACATTTTTATAAGAATTTGCCCAAAAGGGGGAACACTTGCAATTTGGAAATTAAGAAATAAAAAGTAAAAAGCAAGGTGAAACACAATACTAACATATCTAGACAATGATCCCTGGATCAGTGGTGCTTACAGACCAAGGGCTACCTGCACCCTGCAGCCTTAAGACTATCTGACATTCAATTAAGAAGACAATTATATACCTAAAACCCTCTTAACTGGAAATGTTGCAAGAATATACAAGCACTAGTCTGTTAAAAAATTTAACTACATTTCTTATCCGAACACAGAAAAAATTTAAATACGTATTTTATTCTCCAATTTAAAAAAAGTCAGTGCTTTCCATCATAAGCAGCAAGAGTGATCCACAAATAAGCATGAACTCACTCCTACAGAAGCTATGATAAATTCTGTGGGAAATACATTGGAAGATCAGCTCAAGAACCTTAGCCCAAATATAAAACAAATCCTTTCCTTTCAATGTTTAAAAAAACAAAACAGGCTATTAACACATATGATAAAGAAATATCTTCTGAATCCTTATTTTGGGTTGGAATGTCTAGTGAACATTCACTCAAACTAGAAAAAATAATTATAGCACTATTATGATAGGGAAAAATTAAAAGCAACCAAATGCCTGACCTTAGAAAAGTAGTTACGCAAACTTAAAAACATAATCAAATACTCTGTAACTACAAAATGAAAATGTCTGCTAACTATATTTTTCAAAAACTATATAATTCTAGAAACATTCAAAAACACGGAAATGTATATATAAAATACTGTTACGTGAGAAAAGCAAAATTAAAAATATAAAGTGATTACAACTGTGGAAAAGTGAATATACTACAATAATAAAAACTGAAGTGAATTTAAATTTACAGGCATATATAGATGCTAATATTCATTAGGGCTTTTTTTCTCTGTTCCTGGAGATTATAACAAAATAAAAAAGAAAATATAGAATATTATTTGAGATAAAACTATGCTCCTAAACAATAAATACTGGACTATATGTGAATTCCTAAAACAGATTTAAAAAACCATGACTTGTATATCTCAAATGTACCCTATAGTTCAGCCCCCATTTGCTGATCTTCATTTGAAAATACCTTCTGGGCAATGAGTACAGTTCCTCTGCACATAAAAAGAAAATTTAAAAGCACTGTCCAGATAAGAAAACCAAGCTGCATGCTAACAAAAATCTATCTACTTAATTTGTTTCGATCCTGCAAAGTCACTAACAGAGGGTTTTAAAAAACTAATTCTATATACATATTTTACATAACATACATTTAGGCTATAAATATTTTAAAGAACGGCTTTTACATAATTCTCTATTTCAATATATACCTTATTCATTCAATTGCAAGTTATGTAAATGCAGTCTTTCAGATTTATTATTGAAAATTAGCCACTGCATGATTTAGAAAATGGTTAATTTCTTGGATAAAACATAGCATATTTAGAAGTCCGAAAGCCAAGTAAATCCCTTATTTCATTTCGGAATTTTGACAGATCTTGGCGCAGTTCATTCAAATTTTCCACAGTTGCCTGATCTGTACTTTGCATCTTCTGTCTCATAGAAGTCAAGTAACGATGCACTAAACAGCACATCACTTTTTGGTAGTTTTCATCTCTCTTTTGTTTCAAATTTCTCCATTCCTTTAAAACAAACAATAATATGATGCTAACGACACACAGAGACAAAACTCAAACAAGGGGAATTTTAAAAAAAAAATTATTCACGGATACAAATACCTCTTCTAATGCTTTTTATTAGACTTTATTTTTGCCATTACATGTTGCAAAATAACATTCACCATTTGTTTAAAACAAATATAGCCAGCATATTTGTTTTATTCACTAGACTGTATGCTTATCTTGATTTTAAAAATTTAATTTTAGGAAGCTTCAATTTACAGTTGGGATCAGCAAACTATGACCCACAGGCCAAATATGGCCCACATCCTGTTTTCACATGACCTGAGAGCTAAGAAAGGTTTTTACAGGTAAACATTTGCAATCAATTTGATGAGAGCGAACGCTAACTTTAAACCCCGGCTAAGTGAAATGTTAACCTCCCCCGCAAAATAATGGCATTCTTCTCATTAGTAGACCTGTATTACAAAAAAGTGATACCTGATTACTGTTATATTTTGAATTTTATCAACAAAAATTTTGTGGAAATTTGTTTTTCTCATTACATTAGTGTTTATACAAAATATTCTATTTTTTCTCTTAGCCTACAAACCCAAAAATATTAGTAAAATAAATATATATCCATACATGTATATATGCATTTTTTACTAATATTACTAATTAGTGTATACATATATATGTCTGTATATACACATATACATATATATACACACACGTATGTATACACACATTAAATAGTAAAATTAGTAATCTGGTTCTTCATAGAAAAACTTTGCCAACCCTTTTATAGCAATATGTGTTGAATTTTGGAGCCCTGGTGGCGCAGTGGTTAAGAGCTCGGCTCCTAACCAAAAGGTCGGCATTTCGAATCCATCAGCCACTCTTGGAAACTCTATGGGGCAGTTCTACTCTGTCCTATGGGGTTGTTATGGGTCAGGATCGACTGGATAGCAACGGGTTTGTTTTGTTTTTTTGCGTGTTATGTGTTGGATTATCCAGGGAATTAACTTTCAAGAAGAACCAGAAAAATATGAGCTGATGTCAGTGGTCATTCTTTATCTATGCTGACAGAACAGATATTCTGAATAGTTGCCATGTTTTAAAACTATGAAAAGAGATTTCACATGTTAGAAAAATCTGAAAACCTTAAAAATCACAGCTCTCTCTCTCAATAAATATTTATCGAACCCTTACTTTATGTTAAACACTATGCCATGCATTAGGGATAAAAAACGAAATCCATTGCCATCGGGTTGATTCCAACTCATAGCGACCCTACAGGACAGAGTAGAACTGCCCCGTAGGGTTTCCAAGGAGCAGCCAGTGGATTTGAACTGCCGATCTTTTGGTTAGCAGCCGAGCTCTTAACCACTGTGCCACCAGGGCTCTGCATTAGGGATAGAGCAGTGAAAAAAAAAAAAAAAAATCAGACAGTTGCAGCCCTCAAGGAGCTTGCATATTTATGGTTTAGGAAATTTCTGAGATTAGGCATTGTTAAAACTTCATGTTGCAATTCAAACTCCCCAGTTCTTACCTTTAAACTGTTTTGCCGCTTGACCCTGCCTTTTGATGTATGAGAGCAAATCCACTTACTGAGGCTACTAATTATATAGCAGATAGTCTTCGGTGAGGGAACGATGTTGAAAGGCGGGGGTAATGTACATTTGTCATCAAAGTAGCTAAGCCACAACTTTGCTCGAGCAAACTTCCATTCTTTGTCTTCATGATTCTGTAAGAGGCACGTGAAAAAGCAATATAGAATATAAATACATACATACATATGCATGTATGTATATATGGATATATAGGTATGTGTGTATATATATGTTGTGTGTGTATGTATATATAAAGAGAGAGACCATTTTAAACTGTCCAAAAATTAGATCCCAAATTTACAATTAATATAATTACTTGCATTTAAAAAAAATCTACATTTAATTTTTGAATGACACTATTTCTTAATTCTTATAATATTTGGTTACCATATATATTGCATACATATGGTGTGGTCTGAAAACAATGTCAAGTTTGTTAGAGCGAACACTTACTGCTATCAACTGAAAGCTTTTGTGAAGCATTGCCACCAGCAACTTCGTAAGCACGATCACAACCACCACGTTGTAAGTGCCCACAATGACAGCTCCAACAAAGGACTGCAGCTGTTCTCCGTAGCTAAATCTTGTGACAAAGATGGCCACATGTGCTAGGGAGAAAATATACCAGAACAAGGCAAAGCAAGTGCCAATGAACCTGTAAAGACAATTGCACTTACATGAAAGAAATCAGTTAGCAGAAATTAACTAATCATTTATATCAAAATTATTTTTTTAAAAAAACCTTGATTATCCAAGAATAACACCTTATAAAATAAATGAGGTTAATTCCTACAATATAGATATGCTTTAGTTTAAACAAAGAAACTCAAAAGGAAGATGTATTATTACTATTTAACCCCTTGCTTGCTGCCTTTCTATTATGAACATAGTAGCTAGCCTGTATGATCCTATTAAAACCTAATTAGATTTTGTCACTCCTCTGCTCAAAAACTTATAAATGACTCTCAACCTCAGTAGCCCAAAGTTCCTATGAGGACTGATAAGGTCGTGCATGACCCCATGACCTCTCTGACCTCATCTCCTACACTCTCCAGCATGACCCCATGACCTCTCTGACCTCATCTTCTACACTCTCCATTTTATTCACCCTGTTTCAGGCACACTGGCCTCCTGGCTTTTCCTTGAACATGCCAGCCAGGATCCCATCTCAGGGCACTTGCCTTTGCTATTCCTTTTCTCTCTAAATGCTCTTCCTCCAGATATCTTCATAGCGTGCTCCTTCACCTGCTTTAGGTCTTTACTTGAATATCATCTCTTCTGGGGCCTTCCCTAGCCCCCTATCTAAAACTGCACCATCTTATACACACATATATATACTCCCTACTGCTGTCATTAGTTGAATACTCCCTATTGTTGTTGTTAGCTGGAGTCGGCTCCCACTCATGGCGACCTCATGTACAAAAGAGTGAAATGCTATCTGCTCCAACACCATCCTCTTGATCACGAGCATGCTTGACTCCATGGTTGCCTTCCAACTTAGGGGGGTCTTCTTCCAGCACTATATCGGACAATATTCTCTGGTGAGCCATAGGGTTTTCACTGGCTAATTTTCGGAAACAGACTGTCAGGCCTTTCCTCCTAGTCTGTCTTAGTCTGGAAGCTCCATTGAAACCTGTCCACCATGGGTGACCCTGCTGGTATTATATTTCCTACTTCTAATTTTGTCTCCTTAGCCCTTATCATTGTGTACTATGCTATATATTTTATTTGTTTATCTTATTTACGGCCTGTCTACCCTCACTAGAATGTAAGTTCCATGAGGATGGTTTTATTCACTGATACTTTATTCATCTAGCACTTAGAACAGTTTCTACCATATAACAGATGTTAAATAAATATTTACTGATTGAAAATGAATGATTATTTATGTTACTAACAATTTACAATGGAACCTAACGATGACTGTGAGTTGCCCCTGACATTTCACACTTGAGGGGCAAAGATGTTGAACATATTGCAAAGAATTGCCCTGTCCAAAATGCTAAGAGCACACAAAATGCCAAGAGCTTCCCTGTTAAGATAAAATGCAGGACAGAAGCCAGTGTAATGACATACCAAAAAACCCACCAAACCCATTGCCGTCTAGGTGATTCCGACTGATAGTGACCCTATAGGACAGAGTAGAACTGCCCCATAGGGTTTCCAAAGAGCAGCTGGTGAATTCAAACTGCCAACCTTTTGGTTAGCAGCTGAGCTCTTAACCACTGTGCCACCAGGGCTCCGTAATGACACAGACCTACTATTTATTTAAGATTCTGCACTTAATGATGACTATTAAACAATTAATGAAAAAAGTATTTATTAAAGTTTGCAAATATTAAGGAGGAATTTCTTAAATAAAACCCGAAGGTCCGTTTTTGTGGGTACTGATTCATACATAACATGGGAGAAAGAGAACTGTATTTACTAAAAATCTAAAAAGACACTCACGAGTGAAAGGTGTCATTGCTTTGCTGTTCACAGAAGATGCCGACACAGTCCTTCTGCTCCTTTGGAGTATAGCCTTTATCATACAGTTGTGTCAGTCCAATTGTGAACGAAAACAAAACAAGAAGGAACATCCCAAGAAATTTCCCAAAATCTTGCAACATCTGTCCCATTGAAATCTGCAGAATATATTACATAGGTGTTCATTAAAATCAAGAAAAACAAAATATTAAATGACCAAGCAAAAAAAAAAAAAAAAGGAAGACAAACACATGGCTCATAGGCTACCCCTTTTATTCTATCTGATTAAGATAGTTTAGACTTTTAAAATATCAAAAATCCAGCTGCCATCATCAATCTAATGTACTCGCAGGTCATTCTGCAGCTCTGCCAGGTAGGGAATCTCTCAACTCTGTGATCTCCAACATTCTATGTTTCTTAAAAGAAAAACACTCACCCCCAAGGGTACCCTGTACCCTAACATGTACAACACCTGAAATCGCTTTTGACTCATTAGAAACAGCAATAATATGCCATTTATGTTATACAGGCCAGTAACTTCAATCTGATAATTACCCAGTACAACTAAATAAGTCACTAGGAATGAAGTATGCACTCATGTGTCAGAGACTACATTAACTTTCCAAGTTCTCTTGTATTATTTTCCAGGTCTGCTACAGACAACCCCACTGACTATAAAGGGAATGGAGGAATGGATCTAAACATTTATTTAAAGCTCACCGTGTGCCAGGTGGAAACCCTGGTGGCACAGTGGTTAAGAGCTACAGCTGCTAACCCAAAGGACAGCAGTTTGAATCCAACGGTGCCCCCCGGAAACCCTACGGGGCAGTTCTACTCTGTTCTACAGGGTCGCTGTGAGTCGGAATCAACTCGATGGCAATGGGTGTGTTTTTTTTTTTTATGTGCCAGGTACTCCATTATGTATCTTATATGCACTGATCCATTTAATCCCCACAACACCTGATATAGAAAGCGAGGCTCAGAGATTCAGTAACATGCTAAGTGTTGGAGCCAGATTCTGAACCAAGCTGTCAGAATCCAAGGCAGTGTTCACACATTTGTAATATTAGTAATTCTAATAATTAGACCAAACAGAAAGCAAGACATTTAGATAAGCACTTTCAATTATCATAAATGTTGGGACCTAAGATTACACGTACAGACCCTCAAGGACCCCTCCTCTTTGGTATGACTTGCTCATCAACACCAGCCCAGAACTTATCCTTGCCTGAAACTCCTAACCTGGGGCTTTTAGCAGAAATGTCTGCAACCCTACGATATGGCAGATATTCTGCGATTTTCTAGGAAAGAAATAATTCTTAAGAGAAAGAAAGATTCCTCTTATTCTGAATGAAGTTGGGAGGAAACGGGACTATTGAGGAAAAAAAATACTTGAGAAAATTCCCCAATAACCCCATTCCCTCCTCCAAATAATAAATGGTCTTTTTTCCCTTAGCTTCTCCAGACATGAGGCCTGAAAGGGTGGGGTCAAGGTAGCCTAGAGAAGAAGAGGGGCTGATTTGTTACTCTGTTTGAGGACTGATTATCGCAGCACTGAATAAGAGTTGGTATTTCATAGTGGGAAGGGGACACTGAGCATGAGGAAACAGGCCTGTCCGACCTTGCAGCTGGAGTTTAATCGCCCAGTCTTAGTCAATAAAGGACAATAATGGATTTCTCTTTGGATAGATCTTGGACTTGAGAGTTCCTTGGAAAGCTGGAATGAAAACTCCTGAGGGCCTACTTTCTCTAAAAGACTTGCCACTCTCTCTTCTAACCTTCTTGACCTGTTCCACTCTCCACTTCGCTGCCAAATTCAGCTAGATCCTTCTCACTACCCGTAACCACCTCTAAAGTAATTATATAGTGAAGGATTAAGGACATTCATCATTGGGTTTTCATCTCTCTGAGCCACATGCAGTATTCAAAGACTTCTTCTAACTGGACTTGAGTTTGTTTGCAAAAAAATTCTAGCTTACTATAGAATTAAACTTCTTTCCATTTCAAAACAATACTACAGTAGATGCTAAGATCACTCAAGATGCTGCTTCTTATGATTTACAGTAATAGCAATTAACATTTATTGAGCAACTGGTGTAAGCCAAGTACTGTTTAAACAGATGAGTTTTTTTTTTCTTTATTTAAAAAAGAAAGGAAGGAGGGAAAAAAGAAAAGAAAGAATGGAAAGAAAACAAGAGACAGAAGAGAACCAAGGCAACCATAATGACCAAGTTTTGACAGTGAGTATGCTCATGAATCAAAAGAAATCTTTGTGCCAGCTAGATCTAGCCACAAGAATATTCTGATTTATTATATTTATCTCCCTAAATAAGATGAGCTAATGTAGTAAGGCTCTCCTCTCCTCTGCTCAGGTCTCAGGAGGAAAAAAGTCGATGAAAGTTAAAACACGTCCAGCCTTTTTTGTGTAACAGTTTTTAAAACATTTTTTCCCCTTTTTAACTGGTGGACGAGAGTGATAATGAAGACCATAAAACCTCTGAAGCACGGGCACAGCCTGATCTTCAGGATGGGCCAACCTCTGTGCTCAGGGCATAGCTGGTATTACAGTCACCACTGTACCACCAAGACTCCATGTTTGTCTTTGGATTTTTATTTTCTAATTTTTTCAATTAAAATATTTAATTTTAATTAGACATTGTTTATACAATCTAGTTCAGAAAATTTTAAATTATTCGTTTATTTAGGCATAGTATATGTGCGTATATATGTATGTCATATACACACACACATACACTAGACCAAAATGA